AAAAAAATCTCCTTTTAATTGTTAACACAGAGTTATTGTAATATGTAATTATAGTATTCTATTTCTAGTAGATTATGAAAACTACTGGGTATGACTTATATATATATATAGAGCGCTTTTTGGTCAGACCCAAATTTTTGTCTCTGTATTAATGGAAAGATCTGGTCTATGTTTCTCAAATATCTAGCGAAAATGGACCTCATTCTAATGTTATCTAAATTTTTCTGTCAGATAGGTCCAAAGCCCAAATGTTTTGTGTTTCATTCAATAGTTTGACCGTGTTAATGGAACGCGCCCATAATGTATTTACCCTCGGTAAATACTGTAAAGTTTATAAATCTAATCTAATTACAGGTAAACTACGTGAAGCGTTCCTCTTTTGAGTTCCTAACTCATTTGGAATTTTCAAAATTAGATTTGCAAATTTGAAAAACCCTTCGCAAATCCCTTGAGGGAATTCGAAATTTTCCTGTCGGCCGTTGCAATATTCCAACGCAAAGAAAGTTCCTTTCAAATTTTCCTAACTTCCTGTTTTAATTTCCTAACTTCCTGTTCTGTTCTGAGCGTTGTTATTGGTGGATTATTTTTGTTGGCCAATTGCAACGCACAGAACAGAACAGGAAGTTAGGAACTTGTAACAGGAAGTTAAGAACTTCTAACAGGAACTGAGGAAAATTTATTTTGCTCTTAAGAACATTGCAAATTCCCTCAAGGGATTTGCAAGGGAGTTTTGCAAATTTGCTAAGGTAATGAGGAAAATTGCAATTAACTTAAGAACTCAAAAGAGGAACGCTTCACGTAGTTTACCTGTAAGTAAATTTTTACCCTCGAAATTTCCATTCACTTCATTATGTGGACTGGTTAGAGCCTTGTGTTTCTTGATTGTTTCTTCCTGGATCTAAAAGAACCAACCAACATTATTTACACTGATTAGTTTTATCAATTTTATACTGTTCTTCCTATATGTAGATGAGGTTCAGTATACAGCTATTTCAATTAAGGTTGTCCCCGAGCAAAGCGGAAAAGTCGAATACGAGCGCGAAAGGCTGCTGGGAATCGCTATGAAAATTCATTAATTTTTTAGGGATTCCCAGCAACCTTTCGCGCTCGTATGCTGTTGACTAAACTGTGTTTATTAATTTATACTGATCTCTTATTGATTCAGTGTTACTACAGGAGGAAACCTAAACTAAACTAACTTTATTTATACTGGATAGCTCTATCATTTCTAAACTGTTCTTCCCAGAGGTCCAGTAAGAATCTTCTCTTATTGATCCAGTGTTACCACAGGAGGAAACCTAAACTAAACTAACTTTATTTATACTGGATAGCTCTACCAGTTCTAAACTGTTCTCCCTAGAGGTCCAGTAAGGATCATCTCACATTAAGAAGAGTAAATCAAAAATAATAATTTTGTAAACACTGCTACAAAGTTGCATTGTAGTTCTTATTTTTCTATCTGCAAGAATGAAATGAAATTTAATTTTCTGTCATATTTTTTGTCTACAGCGTTATCCGACGAGTAGAAACTTAACGAAGTTGTCCGAGGCTGCATCAGAGTTCTCTTCCACGACAGAATTATATCATGGCGTGTTGAAGTATCTCATCAGTGGAGTTCTTAGACCTTGGCTAGCTCAGGTCAGTATGCGCTTGTAGATTTTTTATTTTTCGGTGGAAGTAGTCATTGTTACTGTACTGGGTTCTTATTCCATAAACTGAATTACGCTAAACTAGCCTTATATTTATGCAAAATAGTTACCACACGTGGAAACCTAAACTATATATAAACCAACTTTATTTATAGTGGATTATACTTGTATATTTATACTTTCAGTTCTAAACTGTTCTCCCTAGAGGTCCAGTAAGAATATCTCTCATTGATCCAGTGTTACTACAGGAAGAAACCTAAACTAAACTAACTTTATTTATATTGGATAGCTCTATCAGTTCTAAACTGTTCTCCCTAGAGGTCCAGTAAGAATATCTCTCATTGATCCAGTGTTACTACAGGAAGAAACCTAAACTAAACTAACTTTATTTATACTGGATAGCTCTATCAGTTCTAAACTGTTCTCCCTAGAGGTCCAGTAAGAATATCTCTCATTGATCCAGTGTTACTACAGGAAGAAACCTAAACTAAACTAACTTTATTTATACTGGATAGCTCTATCAGTTCTAAACTGTTCTTCCTAGAGGTCCAGTAAGGATCATCTCTTATTGATCCAGTGTTACTGCAGGAGGAAACCTAAACTAAGCTAACTTTATTTATACTGGATAGCTCTATCAGTTCTAAACTGTTCTTCCTAGAGGTCCAGTAAGGATCATCTTTTATTGATCCAGTGTTACTACAGGAGGAAACCTAAACTAAACTAACTTTATTTATACTGGATAACTCTATCCGTTCTAAACTGTTCTTCCTAGAGGTCCAGCAAGGATCATCTCTTATTGATCCAGTGTTACTACAGGAGGAAACCTAAACTAAACTAACTTTATTTATACTGGATAGCTCTATCAATTCTAAACTGTTCTTCCTAGAGGTCCAGTAAGGATCATCTCTTATTGATCCAGTGTTACTACAGGAGGAAACCTAAACTAAACTAACTTTATTTATACTAGATAGCTCATCAGTTCTAAACTGTTCTTCCTAGAGGTCCAGTAAGGATCATCTCTTATTGATCCAGTGTTACTACAGGAGGAAACCTAAACTAAACTAACTTTATTTATACTGGATAGCTCTATCAGTTCTAAACTGTTCTTCCTAGAGGTTCAGTAAGGATCATCTCTTATTGATCCAGTGTTTCTACAGGAGGAAACCTAAACTAAACTAACTTTATTTATACTGGATAGCTCTATCAGTTCTAAACTGTTCTTCCTAGAGGTACAGTAAGGATCATCTCTTATTGATCCAGTGAATTCTAATGACAGAATGAACGTTCCTGTCAGCATATATAGGCGTTTTTTCCCCACTGAAGATTTTAACGTCAAAAATGTTTTGTTATGGTTTAGTTAAAAACTGAAGCAGCTGCTTGTTTAACTGACACGTTCCTTAGAAAACTGAGAGATATTGAAAAGGTATGATAGAATTTTTCTGTATTATATTTTGTTGTCTGACAACATTAAATTTATTAATGACTACAACATATGATGTGATATTTTACAATCGATGCTATCTTTGTATATTTTTTTAAATACACTTTAACTATGTAGAATTTTCATCCAGTCCTAGGACTTGTTCAAAAGTTCATCCAGTCGTAGGACTTGATCAGAACTTCATACAGTCATAAGATTTGATCAAACTTCATCCAGTCCTAGAACTTGATCAAAACTTCATCCAGTCCTAGGACTTGATCAAACTTCATCCAGTCCTAGGACTTTATCAAAACTTCATCCAGTCCTAGGACTTGACTAAACATCCAGTCATCGGAATTTATCAAAACATACCCGGAAACTAGCGAAATTGTATGGGGGTTTTCGTTTCCAGATATTTTGATATTTAATTTTGTGCGTTCACGTGTTCTAACAATTGTTTCCAATATTTACAGGCACACGGAGCAGGGCCTTCTCGTTCATGTTTTATCGACGCGTTGACCAGAAGAATCAAAAGACTGCTTGTACTTCACGGACCTTCGACATAAAAGATTGACGAGGACAATCAGGTGATGATGACGCATAGTTAGTGTAAAATACAAATAAAAAACAAAGTATTTGAAACTAATTTCAATTTTGTTCAATAATTCAACATAACGCAATGAGGAACATTGTTAGTTGTATTTCACGATGCAAATTTGACGACGTCAAAATCGCTACAGAAATAAAAAGAGCACCTCAATGTTTAAGGCTTGGAATTTTGGCTGCGATTTGAGGTGCGATTTTTCTCTTTTGATTGATGTGAACGAGTGAATGATATAGGAATATTCAGATGAGAGTACAGGGTTGTTTAACATTTACATGGAAATTCCGGTGATTCTAAACGGAAAATAAATGGAACAAGCGTATTTCGACTGCCCAACCGGAACTTTTCCGGAATAAACGGTTTGTTTGAAAAGGTTGTCCTCTCTTACCGATTGAAACGTTTCAACCGGTAAATATTGTTCCATTTACATCTTTTTTATTTTTTCACCACTTCCAGGCTCTTCTCGATTTAACAATTGGAATTATTAAATACTTCAGTGCCTTCCGTCAGTCACCCTAAATGGAAAGCGCATAATCCGAATGGGATTTTGCTTACCATTAGCACAATTTCAAACCGGATGTGTTTTCCATGTAAATGATAAACAGCCCATATGCTCCGAACATTCGTAACCCATCTACTCGTTGACATGCATAAGAAGAAAAACATCGCATTAGAAATAGCAGCATAAGAATTGCAGGTGTAAACGGGCTTATAGTAAGCAAGAAGCTCGAAAAGGTCGTCGTTCTGCTTGTACTTTGCGTATAGATGTATCTCGTTCAGAATGTATAATATACAATACAGAGAAATTGCGTTCAATTTAAATGTGAACATTTTTACCATGGCCTTAATTTGTCAACGCATATAAAATTTCATTTGTGTTCATATGACAAACAATGGCGCCCGACTAGGTGACAAGTCAAGTGGGGTAAGATTTTACATATGAAAGCTTCATCGCACCCGACCGGAATGGGCATTTGCAGATTTTGATCTGTAATGTATTGAACCGCATATAGTTGCCTAGTTGGAAAGTACAAACAAGATATAAACATTAATAGATCAAAACAGACATGGTTAAAGTCGTAACAGTTTAAACCAAGCCTGGATATATTAACACATGCAGAAATAATTCGTCCTTTTAAGTGAGTTTCCCAGCGACCGGCTCATATGAAAAGGCCCTAAGTTCTTATATTAATCTAACCAATATTACGCCAGATCTAATTACTTTTGCAACACAATGTAATTGTTATCGGTGGCAATTAGCCCTTTCATTAACTATCGCAACGCTTTGTTTGTAGTTTTAATCTTTGCCCGTAAATTAATTCATTGTATTTTCGTGCTTTTTACCATGGTGACAATTTGTTTAATACGAAATTACTCGTTATTTCGAAGCGTGTATCATATCCTAGTTACAGTTTAAACACCGCACAATTACTGAATTCTGTTACATGGAAAGAATGTGGTAGATAGCCCTTTTCTGCAAGAGTTTAACCAGCGATTTCTATACTGGCTAGAATGCTATTGTTTTGCCTGCTAGAGAAAGCGAGTTCACCTGGATTCGTTGGAATTAATAGCTTATAACGTAAGTTTAAATTATTGTAATATCTTAAATACACAATTGATAGAGCTATCCAGTATAAATAAAGTTAGTTTAGTTTAGGTTTCCTCCTGTAGTAACACTGGATCAATAAGAGATGATCCTTACTGGACCTCTAGGAAGAACAGTTTAGAACTGATAGAGCTATCCAGTATAAATAAAGTTAGTTTAGTTTAGGTTTCCTCCTGTAGTAACACTGGATCAATAAGAGATGACACTTACTGGACCTCTAGGAAGAACAGTTTAGAACTCGGTTCAGAAGGGATAGAGCTATCCAGTATGATTTAGTTTAGATGTCCTTTTTATTACGAAACCATTACTAATAAATTTTCAAAATTTTCCTGTTTTAGAAATTCTGCATATCCATTGGAGCATTGAGGTAAATGATATGACCAAATCATGTTGGTCTCCAATGAAATTTCGAAAGAGATTCCATCACCGCAAAATGAATCCAAAACTGAAACGTCCCAAATTGTCTCTTCCTTGTCCCACATACAAACTTGCCCAAAAGACAAGAAAGAATGCGATTCAATGTTGAAACTATCGAGAAGTATTGCTGTGACAACTTTACCCATCTTAAATAAATTGCCCACGTCAAATATTATGGATTTAAATATTCCTATTTCTTCAAACATTTTACCAAATTCATACAATATTAATACTCCCACATTAAAGCATTTTAATCCGCCGAGCTTAAGTTCTAAAAACTTCATAAAATATTCCACGAAAAGCATGGCTTCCTACAATAATTATTCCACGAAAGATATGGCTGCCTGTATTAGTAATTTCAAGAAAAACGTCACTTCATATAATACCCGAACATGGCCCCTGGCCAGTAAAAATTGCGCGGGTTTTAAACCCCTTGGGTATCGAATTCGCCCGACCTTTGGCGAGCAATGCCTGAAGACTGGAAACCAGTGGCCTAGTCCCCGCGAAGAGCCTGGACCTAGTTTGCCATATTTGGATTTATTTACGGACAATCCGACTGAAAGTAAATGTTCGGAACCTGTGAAGAATGACGTAATTACTAAGCGTGTAAAACCGGTTTCCTGGCTCCGGAAAAACCGGTTTCCTGCACTAAGGGACCGTTCATTATTTATACCTGGGGTTGGTAGCGAAGAGAAGCGAAAAACACTGTAATTTTTTTATTTACCCAACCTCAACATTGGTCAAAATAATGTTTACCCAACCCATGTGTTACTGTACTTAATAATTAAACACACAAGATTATGTGGTGACAGAAATCAAGTTGCCTAAATTTTAAAAGCTCACTCAGACTCAAACTCACTGAGTGTGTCAATGGAACCACGTTCCTGCTGATCAATAATAGAGTCCTTCCTCAATCACTGATAGTCTACTTTGGTACAGAATGTATTGTGCACATTTTTCTTCATATTTTCCAATGCATGGTAATTTCGGTTTTATTTTATAGCTGACAGACAGCCACAAATTTTTTTACCCAACCCATGAGCTACTCAAAAACTTGATTACCCAACCCATATCTCTTCGGTACCAACCCCGGGTGTAAATAATGAACGGTCCCTAATTGACGCGTACAATATCCGCAACGGGCTTTTCAGTTTTGGCGGGAAATCCCATCCAATCATCGAGAGGGATCAAGCAATCCCATCGTCAGCAGATTTTCCTGAGATTACTTCGTGTAAGTTGAACGAGGTGGTTCACCAGAAAAGAGATAATGTAGGATTACATGAAGTTTCCAGTGAAGACTGTTCGGAATGTCCGCTGTGCAGAAAAGAAGTGGGACTACGGGCTCGTGTTCGTAACGTCAGCATGTTGAAATCAAACTCGTCAAAATACCATATTCATTTGCCGTCCACAGATTGACCCGTTTGTCTGGAATGTCTCGACGAAAGAAAAATCAACAACAGTCGTGCAACAATTGTATTTCGTATATATAACAAAAACACTGTGGTGTAAACCAGTTTAAAATGAAAAGAACCTACTTAAACGGTTTCCCGAGCATATCCTGTTGCCTGTTGAACATTCGTATCGTAGCTTTTCCACACTACTCGTAAAAGTCTCACAACTTTTCAACAAGATGTGTTCGCAACAGATGTTTGTAGCAAGCTTGCCAACAACTTGTAACAATGCTGTTATTTCATCAAGTTGCTACAAGATTGTCACTCACAAATTGTTGACAAATTGTTGAATCGCAGGACGATAACAAATTGTTGGAACAACTTGTAACAAGTCTGTTGAGCTCAACAACCTTGTAGCAAGTTGTCAACAAGCTGGGAACAAGCAGTGCGAACACATCCTGTTGACAAGTTGTTGGAACAGCATTGCTACAAGTCTACTGCAGGTTTATTACAACTTGTGCGTTTTTACGTGTCTAATCTTTTTCGACTTATGCGAGGACTTTTTTCGCAACAAACGTTCACGTTTTTTTGGTTTCTTATCTTTGGCAATTTTGATTTTGTACTCGGGCCAAGTCCCCTGCATATCAAATTTCGGATGGGTTTCATATAATGTCATGGCAACCGGTGTTAAAAGTGACGTTATGTAAGCGTTATTATTCGTTACTTTCCAGTCCTTTGATGGAGCAGCCTGCACACGGGCGGACGGCAGGTCGTACCTGAGTTTTGTACTCAAGCCATTCGCTTCCAAATGTATCCCATAAGACGTTGCGCTCCCGCGAAAATTGTTCTTTGTCGCCAAACTCCATGAAATTAGCAGTGTGCTTGTTAATATAAGAAATTTCAAAACATTCGTCATAATTTTCTTTCTAAGAGATGTCATTTCATATAAACAAAAATAATATACTATATAAGTTTTAAAGACATTATTGGACTAACTTTATTTATACTGGATAGCTCTATCAGTTCTAAACTGTTCTTCCTAGAGGTCCAGTAAGGATCATCTCTTATTGATCCAGTGTTACTGCAGGAGGAAACCTAAACTAAACTAACTTTATTTACACTGGATAGCTCTATCAGTTCTAAACTGTTCTTCCTAGAGGTCCAGTAAGGATCATAAGGATCTAAACTAAGGATCCAGTAAGGATCTAAACTAACTTTGTTTATAGGAAATGACATCTCAGTTCTAAACTGTTCTTCCTAGAGGTCCAGTAAGGCTCATTTCTTATTGATTCATTGTTACTACACTGGAGGAAACCTAAACTAAACTAACTTTATTTATACTGGATAGTTCTATCAGTTCTAAACTGTTCTTCCTAGAGGTCTAGTAAGGATCATTTCTTATTGATTCAGTGTTACTACAGGAGGAAACCTAAACTAAACTAACTTTATTTATACTGGATAGCTCTATCAGTTCTAAACTGTTCATCCTAGAGGTCCAGTAAGGATCATTTCTTATTGATTCAGTGTTACTACAGGAGGAAACCTAAACTAAACTAACTTTATGTCGATACCTTTACATAATTAAGGGATGAAACAAAATGGATGCGTCAACCATGAACCATGCTCATAATTTTCCTACGACTTTTTAGATGACATAATGAAGCTCAAAAATTATATTGCAGGTTGCAGCAAAAATTCTGTCGTGAAATCATAGGCATTATCTATCAAGATATGATAAACTATTTATTTAAGAAGTACTAACGTTTCGTCTTTAACCTAAGACATCTTCAGAGTAAATGAATATAGTATGACAATGACGAAACGTTAGTACTTCTTAAATCAATTTTATATCTTTATTATTGTATATGTGGCTCTTTTGCGTACGTTATGCTGGGCATTAATCTTTATACTACGATTACGATTCCCGCCTGGTTCATCATTATGTTGTGTTTTTGTCAGAATTTTATGTTAATCGTATACTGAAGTGATCGTTCAATAGGCATAGCTGAGATGAAATGTGCAGACACAATGAATAATCAATGAAGTTGAGACAAAGGATTTGTAGTGCACGGTGAAGTACAGTTCGACATCAAACAAAGGTCTCCTATTTTGTTCCTTTGAAGTTTGTCGGGTTTCCAGACAATCATATCTTGACAGACTATCAATATAACGACATGGCCTTTATATAGTTGTTCGTATAAATATTTAGTTCATTCTACTTACAATACGTAGCCAGCGCCTTCTTTCACTTTATTTTGTAGTCTTTGCCATGTTAAAATACTAAATGAACCAGAACGAACAGTAATCTAGAAATAGAATGATCCTTAAATTAAAATTCTTTATTTATGTTTTATCTACTATATTGCATAAGAATGGACACTTAAGACTGGCGATTATTTAAGTTAACAGGTGGCTGTATTATGTTTTCTTAAATATGCTTGTATCTCGTTCTACGTCGGGATAAACTCGCGTTGAATCACATAGCAAGTCTGTCAACAAGCCGTCAACATGTTGTGTTCCCACTGCTTGTCCCAAGTTATCAACAAGTTTGGAACAACTTGTAACAACCTTGTTGATATTATCAGACTTGTTGCAAGGTTGTTCCAACAAGTCCGATACAGTCATGATACTGTTGTATCACCGAGTTGTTAGTTGTTACAAGGTTGATGACGGGAACAGACTTACTATAACTACAAGTTGTTCCAACAAGACTAATACAGGCTGTTCGTAACAAGTTGCTACGAGCTTGTTCTCATCATTAACTTGTTACGTGCAGACGATATCAGACTTGTTGGAACAACTTGTTGCGAGTCTGTTGGCCTCATCAACCTTGTTACAAGATATACAGGGTGTATTAAAAAAAGCGCAATCCTCGACTGAAATGTAAATTGCTAAACAAATAATAGACGAAAACGTTAAAGTTTACATTCATTTTAAAGCGTAGCCATTCAGCTTTCTAACAGTGGGTTGTTTCTTAAATTTGACTCATTGGTTCGTGGGTAATAATACTTTACGTTATTGGGATTGGGGATTAAAAAAATTGAGATGGAATAACAAATCGTTCTCATGAAAATAACTGATTTTTTCATTAAAACAAAAAAAATGTTGCATTTTAATAAATGGATTGTAACAATAAGTATAATTACGGCTTTTCTTCCACTATTTTTAACACAGTTTGAAACTTCAAATGCGATATAATTTTGGCTTGGACCATCTAAGCTGACTGACATCAACTTGCTATAATTTCTGTTTACATTACATCGTAATTCGATGACACTCTGGCTCAGACACCAGAATGTTTTGACGATTTTAGCATTCGTTTAGGATTTTCAAACAACCTGGTCTCTTTTAAAATACTTTTAATTTGTTCCTACGTGGTTTTCCAGATGTAGTGACGACAACATTAAAGTTTAAAGAAGAAAATTCTAACATTTAAACCGACTAAACAATAACATAGTAAACTTGCATAATTAAACAGCAACCAAAAATGATAGGTTTTACTAAATCTTTTCCTGTGCAATTATTACTAGCATTGGAGACAAGGATAATAGTTTGTTTGAAAGAGAAAAGAACAGGCTTTGAAGTAAGCCTAAAAGCGTTTAACTAGAAATAGTATTTCGAAAGTTATTAAGCACAAAAGATGAATTGCGTTTATTTTGATACACCCTGTATACACGTTTACGATTCAATAGCCCGCAATATTGATCCGCCCGATGATTAAACAGGCAGAAAGGGTGTAACAGGTGTGTTAGTCACGTGACCGAGTTCATTGCAAGAACACAAATATAGCGTTTAAAAATGGCTTCGAATTTACAAACGAACAATTTTCACGAAGCTTTTGACCTCAAAGAGGAGCTCGGAAAGTGAGTATACGATGCTTTAGATAGAAAAGAATTAATACTTAATCTTCCGTAGGGGATTTGAGCGGCGTGAGTTAGTATAAAGACGGCAAGAGATCAATTTATATTCGACTCTTTGTAGAGGGGCTTTTAGCGTCGTGAGACGATGTGTTCACAAGGAGACGAAAGTCGAATATGCGGCCAAGATTATCAACACAAGAAAGCTTTCTTCTAGAGGTACGTTTGGGGCAATAAAACCATTCGTATATATGCATTCAAATACGATACATACGAACCCATATAAACTTGATAATATTGATGAATATACAGAAAGTTTATGTCATTTGTATAAATGCATACTCGCTGAAAAGCACTTAGAATTTACAAGCCTCCAGGCATATGTGATTTGTAATCTTTAATATGTTTTTTAGCCGGTGTTTAGCCATTTTGGTAAGGAGAGGTCAACATTTTGCCGAATTATTATTAAAAGCAGGAAACGCTTTGAATTTCGGGGTTATAAAAAGCCAACAGGATAGCTGTCACCTTCGGGTTTCCAGAAAAGCTCTTATACACATATATATACTTTTCATTTTATTTCGAGTGGGCACCTTAAGATTCTTGTATATTATTTTTATTTGACCTTGTGATCCAGAAATTTAGCATATATGCAATTTGGCATTTTGACGCCATTTGTACAAAATGCAGCTGTCATATGAATTCAAAAGTTGGGTCACTCGAAGCAAAAATCGAACGGGTTTTATAGCTTTAACATTTGTCGAAAGTACAAGCCACAAAATCAACTTTGTAATCTCCGTAGTTGCATATTATATCAACATTGTTTCAAAATTTAGATCATGCCGAGAATACTTTTTGTTTATATTCATAAATTGTCGGTTCTGGTAATTTCGAACCGATCGGAATATAAACTTGTAAACAGCAAAATGTAGAGGGCTTAGAGAGGCAGCATTTTGATGCAAACAAAACGAAATCTCGCCTTGTGTAAACACAGTCTATTACATGTACGCGTTTTATAAACCAAAGTATATTTAATATATCAAGATACTTTTTTTTAC